CTGATTGTAGGAATCGAAGTCATTACAGCAAGCACAAATAGAGGATATAATTGCCTGATTACCTGCTTGCGCTAACATCTTGCCATACTGAAGGTGCTGCTACCGCCATCTTTCCAGATGTTGCTGTGCTCTTCCCATATGTGAGGCTACATCAAAAAGAGCAGATGCAGCATTACTTGGCAACTGCCACCTCCTTGTACATGGTGGCAGAGTGGGCAGTCTAAAAAAGAGGAAGGTCCAAGGGCCAGCCAGTACGTGTCTATGAGATAATGGCATATCTATGAGAGTAAGTTTGTTGCTGGGGGAGGACCCAGGCAGATGCTCAAGAATCTCAAAGACCTTGTTAAAACTTGGGCAAACCCAAGCATTGATACATACCAAAACAGAATGAGTACAAAAAGAAGCAGAAGACCAATATGATAACAATGAACTTCAAAGCCATGAACTAAAAGCAAACCATGTAAGAGTGATTTTTAATTGTGCAGAGTATGGATTAAATGCTTTACATCACTGAGGTTTCTATAGTTAAAGATTTGAACAATATTTAACTGACTTGAAGCTGATTGATTTTGTTAGGCAGTGAGACACGTGCGAATGAAGCTATTGTATTCAAAGGAGCTGAGTTCCAAAGGAAATTCACACAAGATAGTACCATTGTTATGAGCATAAACCGACATACTTGAATATTGCTAAATTATGATGAAATCATTGAGAATGTCATAGCAGAAATCCTAAGGAGAAGTATTGACAATTATGCATTTCTAGTTCATATGGAAATGCTAATTTCACTTATGTGAGTAAAGTACAGGCATGGCGTTATTATGATTAAGACCTTGCAACCGTAGAAATGTAGAGTGGTATATTAATAATATTATAGACATGTTTAGCATAAAATGCAACCAGTGTAGCTAAATTCATTGTACATTCCAGGCTGCATCTGGATTTCCTGTGAGCCTATTACCTTGCAAAGCTAAACAGAAGAATAAACCTTTCATGCTTCTTAGGGTGCTCAGACGTTAGCCAGTTTTTGTTTTTGCTGCAGCATTTGTCCCTGGAGAGTGCCAGAATCTTCTAAAGCCTTTTTTAGAAAGGCACTATGTTATTTTAAAGTAGTAGCTAAGATCATCTTACTTGGGTGATGATGGCTGTTTCATATGGCTAACAGCCATACTTGCCTCACAAATAACCTGAAAGAATGTTCATTTTCGCCAGCCCTTTTGGAAGAGCGTATATAAAATAGCTTGAATAAATTTCAGTAACACCTATTTGCTTCCTACTCGACATTTCTTAGGAAAGCAAGCAGAGGAATTAATATTGGAGTAGATTTGGGGGAGTGACCGTTAGGATGAGATCGATATATATAGACTATTGGATTTGTTAGAATGTATTAGATCTCAGTGAGAGATCACAGAGGAGAGAAAACCAGAAGGGGTCCATGAGGGAGTGAAAAGGGAAAAGACTCTGAGAGAACATAAAGTTGAAACAAAAGTTTATAGTATACCCACAAATAGATTTATTATTGTGTAAATGATGAGATTAACCACTTGAGTAGGCTTGGACATTCAATCGTTCTTCTGTTCTTATATTCATCAATTATAGAATGCTCCCGCTAAGCCAAGGGTTGGGTTAGAAAGTGGTACTGAAGTGCCATCTGGACATAAATTATAAATATTAAATAACTTACACAATAAACTTCATGATTTTGAAATTGTTCAGAAATTCAATCTGAATTATCCAATGATCTAAATTAGAGAATTTTAAAAATGTTGTCTTTTAAAAAAATATTTATTTATTTAGGTTGCACTGGGTCTTAGTTGTGGCATGTGGGAATCTTTTAGCTGGTGGCACGCGAACTTTTAGTTGCGGCATGCAGGTGGGATCTAGTTCCCTAACCAGGGATCGAACCCGGGCCCCCTGCATTGGGAGTGCAGCGTCTTACCCCCTGGACCACCATGGAAGTCCCTAAAAATGTTGTCTTCTTTTTTGTGTTTTACTTCCAGCGCACACAGTAAGTCAGTTTAGTTCAATAAAAGTTGCCAAGAAATGGTCTTTATCTAATGAAATTAATAAAAAAAAAAAACTTTAATTGCATTATGTGATCTTTTTCTATATAAATATGTACTTATGATTTTATCCTCTTGAGTAAGTTAGGCATTGGTCTATTACAATTCTGATTATAATCCTGATTAACTTTATACATCCTTTTCTCGGAGTGATTATGGAGACAAACTCCAGATCTGATTGATTTGCTACAGATTTCACATTCCTATTACTTTGGTGTGAATTATTTTGTACACCAGTATGTTAAACTTTATGCTTTGTCCGAGGACCAGACAAGTCCTACAGGTAACTTGAGATTACAGGTATAGGCAGTAGTCAACAACCATGTCTAGGCATCTACCGCAAACAATATGCTACCACCCCACCATACTTTCTCCTTGCCCTGGAAAAACCTCCTTCTTTCTTCATTCAAAGTATAGTCCACTGATGCAAGAGAATTTTCACACCCTTGATACATCTGATCCTTCCCCTCTGTATCTAGTTCTCCTTGCAGGGTCATGTCATTCACCTGCCATCATCAAAGGAAACAGATGTTCTAGTAGCCCCGGTCCTTTTTTTCTTTCTTCCTCCTAACATGGGACAAACACCACCCACCCAAAAAATGTTATATTTAAACCTTTGTCTAAGCCAACCCTTCATCTCTAAAAGCTCAGAAGAATCCTGCCAGGGATTGTGAAGCTTGTTGGCAGCAGTGGGTGGGGATGGGTGCTCTTTTCCTTGCACTCTCGCCATAGAGTTATGTAATCCTCCCATCTCCATTTGGCACTCGAAGCTCATTTTCCCATTGATACTGGGAACCACAGAATTATGTGTTTTGTTGTTCAACCAGCACTTAACCATTTTTTTTTCCCTTGGCAAAATGGGCCCCGAGTTTTAAACAGCTCAGTTACAAATTAGTGGTAAAACATTATTGGTTTATTATCTGGGACTCTTTATTAGCCTCAATATAAAACAACTTGATTTATATAAATTTAATGCGTAGTAAAAACAAAATTAATTGAACTCCACCAATCTTGAATTTGTGACAGTTTGGATTCCAATCCTTCAAGTTCTTTTCTTAAAAAAACAAAAGGTCTTCCTTCCTTTCCTCACATAATCTGTAAGAGTCAATCTACCTTTTAAGTTGATAAAATGTTGCAGATAAACTCTTTGAATATTCTGGTGCGGGCAAGGTAGGTGTCAGCACAGTAAGAGCCTCCTTAAGCTTGTACTCCGGTGGAGTTTGATAACGATTCCTAAACATATGCCTTTTTTTCAAATGTCCTTGGCTAATCATTTGTGTAAATAAGAGGGGTGAGCATAATACGTGAGTGTGTGTATGTGTATTTGTGCATTTACTTGTATGGACATGGAATATTTAGGGAAAGATGTATAAGAACCTGGAAATATTTGCTGCCGCCAAATAGGAGAAATGGGTTGCCTAAAGACAGGGATAGGGGCTTCCCTGGTGGCGCAGTGGTTGAGAGTCCGCCTGCCGATGCAGGGGACGCGGGTTCGTGCCCCGGTCCGGGAGGATCTCACATGCCGCAGAGCAGCTGGGCCCGTGAGCCATGGCCGCTGAGCCTGCGCGTCCGGAGTGCTCCGCAACGGGAGAGGCCACAGCAGTGAGAGGCCCGCGTACGGCAAAAAAAAAAAAAAAAAGACAGGGATAGGACAGATAACTACAATTCACTCTACAGCATTCTGTATCACCTGATTTTTGCACCGTGTGAATGCCTTAACTATTCCAGTAAATAAAATTAAAGGAAACAAAAAGTTTTGGGTTGGTCCATTTCCATCTTTTATGCTCAGCATGGGTTCTGAGGGAGATGTCTAATAGTTGGGGGCTCTCACATGAGTGACTAACACCGTAGGCCCCTGATGGCCCTTATCACTTGGATTGACTCATGGAGTAGAAGGAATGACAAATGATGGTAACCTGTCTTCCATTCACTGGAGTGCTGTATGCAGCCTTAGTGTCACCCTGTAAGTGACAAGCTTTCTGATATACGAATCTCCTTCCTTGCATATAGACATTTTGAGAAGCAAGTGTCAGTAAAAATTTGGGAAGCAACAGCAACGTGCCATTGAAACAATAATCCTTAATACCATTCCTCATGTGTGGGAAACCCAGTAAGGGTTTCCTGGAGAGTGAAGTTGATTTAGGGATCAGGGATCAGCTGCTGAGGCTGGCACTTGGAAAAGACAAACCAAGCATTCACACTTCAGACCACTCAATACCAGCATTGTGTCCAATCCATCTTTCATAAGGGGGCTCCAAGAGGGGGAGGGGATAAAGGAAGGAGAGAAAATAAACCTTATTAATCCCGTGAAAGAGAGAGGAAAGAGTGAACAAGATGTGGGTATGAAAAGACAGTTGGAGGAATATTTAGTTTTGAAATCGACTTTGGCTTTTAATCTTAGACTCCACTGTCAAGTTTCTTCTGTTTTGCATTCCTCATCCCATCTTTCAGCACTGGTCCCCCTCCACCCCTCAGGCTTTCCTGTACTTCTCTGTTTCACTCCCTCAGGCTTTCCTGTCCTTCTCTGTTTCACTCCCTCCATCTGTCAAGGTTTGCCTTCTCTTGGTGTTCTCTTCTTTTCTCCCTTTTCCTTCTTTCTCACTCTTTGCCTCTCCTTCCCTGGACTCTTTCTCCTGTTGTTTTAGAGCTTGAGTCCCTCTCCTTTTCCCCTTTCTCTTGCACGGTACCTCCAAGCTCCATTCCCTCTTCTTAAGGAAATCAGCCAGGCCTCAGATGGAGCTGTTGTCCTGACAACCTAAAGGCGCATCAGGCTTTCACTGAGGCTGGCGGCTGCTGAAGGGGGCAGTTGTGGAAAGCGAGGGGCCACGCTGAGGGGAGGGCAGAGGGGATGACTCCGAGGGGCTGTTGGAATCCGCGGCGGGCGGGGGAGGTGCCAAGCGGAGGGAGGGCGGGAGGGAGGGACTGGAGGGAGAAACAGGAAGGGGAGGAGGGGAGGGAGACTCTGGGCTGCTGCCGCTGCTGTGTGGGTTTCTTTACACTCGCTGGCAGGCTGGGTGCCGGCTCCCTCGCCCACCGGGAAAGTGGGTTACGGAGGCAAGAGGCTCAGCTCAGACGCTGGCAAAGGAGCATCCAGCCACAGAGAGACCAGAGAACATCTTCTTTTTGGCCGTCTTCTCTTCATCTTTTCTAGAGGGTTTTATATTTTGTACTCTCTCCTTTCAAATTTTGTTTCTTTGACTTTTCCCCACCTCTTCTCGGGTTTTTGAGGGCTTTGTTGAGTCTTAGAGGCAAAAGAGACTGAGCGAGGGAAAGAGAGAGGCAAAGTGGAAAGGACCACAAATTGGCAAAGCCCGTTACGCCTTTGCCGTGGATGAAAGCCCTCCGTTTGTAAAGCCCTCTCGGCGAGCAGCAGGCCCACGCACGTCCTCCAGAGTAGCCCGCGACCCCGCACCTCGGCGTGGCCACCATGGTCGCCAGAGTTCAGCCTGATCGGAAACAGTTGCCGCTGGTCCTACTGAGATTGCTCTGCCTTCTTCCCACAGGACTGCCCGTTCGCAGCGTGGATTTTAACCGAGGCACCGACAACATCACCGTGAGGCAGGGGGACACGGCCATCCTCAGGTAGGGCTTTCGGGCAACTTTTCTGTGGCGCTTAAGAGTGTGTGTGTTCTCCATGAACTCCAGCTCCTGATGCTGCAGGCTTGTGCTGTGTGTGTGCGTGTGCGTGTGTGTGTGTGTGTGTGTGCGCCTTTTACAGACTGGTCGAGGTATCTGCCAGCAAATTTCAAGGGGATTCTGGTCACTGTCAAGGATCAGCAGGGTTGGTTAAATGTTGTTTCGTTCCTAGGATCTTGCTTCTCTTGCTGAGAAAGGCTAATTTCATCCATGGTGTTAGTGACATTCGGGCAGTATTTTTGCTTTTGTGATTGCAGATTCTTTGTACTTAAGAGTTTTGTTGGGGTTCCTTAACTGAGAAAGAAGAGTTTGTTGAATTATGGCGCTCAGAGTGGTACACAGTATTGCATTCTCCGTGGTGTATATGTGTTTGTACGTGTGGATACGTACAGAAAGGCTCTCGCTCTGCCCCAGCAATAGTTTGGATAGGAGACTTTCCGTAAGGATCTTCTCATTGACATGGAGGGCAATAAATCAATCTTAGAACTTTGGTTGATTACTGAGCCTTTTCTGGAATGTGGATAGAAATCAACACAAGAATGAACAGAAGGAAAAAAAAAAAAAAAGGAACTTGCCAAATTGCTAATATTTAAGAATAGGAGTGTTAGCACAGAGGTTAGGAAAGAATTAACCTGGCGTTAAATGGATATTTCAAATTGATTATTGACCTCAGCGTCTTATCTCTATGCAGCTCTGTCAAACTCCGAAATATAATTTGGGATTGAAATTTGGAAAGGAAGAGTCCCAAGTCCTTGGAGTTTGACCCCTGTAAGGGACAGTGAGCTGGAGAAACTCAGATGTAACCTAGCCAGAATTCTGTTTCTAAAGAGCTGCTAGCCTGTTTTCCTGTGTTTCTTTTCTCTCTTTCCCCTCGCCATCCACTGCATATACTCCTTGTCCTTTCTTATAGCTTTCCTTGAATTTCTATCAGATACTAAAAATAAATAAATAAATAAATAAATAAATGAATAATGAAAGAAAATGTTCTCCTTGGAGATCTTTTAAAATCTCATTTCATCCAAATGAAATGACCTAGTGTCAGTCTGTCTACCTGGCTAATATTGTTTGTTGTGGCAATAAAAAGCAGTATCTGATAGAAAAGAAGCATCTAATCTGTGTGCAAGGAGCTGATAGTGCATAAACCCTGGGGCATCGGGGAGCAGTTCTATAGCAGAGCAGCCTACAGCAGCAAAGTTTTCTTTCCTTTTCTCAGAAATAAATTTGGTTGGTTGTCACAGTGTCCTGCTTTGGGATCTCTTGCCTTGTTAGAGAGGGATGTGTGGGTTGTGTGTTGTGGTGTGTGTATGCTGCTGCGGAGTATAAAAACTAAGAAAATCCTAATGTGTGAGTGCTCCTGTCTTCATTTCCTGAGCACTGCGTGATTATGAATCCCAAAGATCCTACCATCCAAAGCATATTTTCCCTTCTAGCTCTCTCCAGCCCTGTGAAACCTGCATGTGTGATTTATCCACATGGAGTAATAAGATTTATAGAGTAATTTATCTGTTTGCAAAGGGATTTGGACATGATGCAGAAAATATTTTCGCAAACACATAAGCATGCCATGTCAACTGCTAGCATTCATATTCCCTAACATCATTAACCCTTTACAAGTGAAGCACTCTATATAAATTTATGCTATTCTTAGCAAGATTTGTTTTCACTGATTATAAGAATGAATATGGGAAAAGTGAACACTCTGGGTGTATAAGTTTTTATGTTAATGTCCATGAACTTTGTAAGGTCTTTCTAAGTCAGCATCACCTATATCTTAAGCTGTAGTTATCAAAGAGTTAGATAAGCATGTAAATGTTAATTTAGAAGAAGGAAGGCATTCTTATATTTTCGTACGTTGTATGCATACAACTCTATGTCTATGAGAGGCAGTCTTACTACATAAATATCTATATATGATATATACGTGCTTCTGTGTGTCTATGGCTCAAAAGAAATGGAGTTTTTAAGCATTACACTTTAGTAGACATTGCAGTATGGAAATGGGGTGGGTAGTGAGCACAGAGAATAAATATAGAAGCAGTCATTCCCTGGGAAAGAGAAGATAGACAAACAGAGCATGCAGAGAAGCCACCTGTGAGAGCCCATTGCTTTCCCAGACCTCACCTAATGTGCCCTCTTTTTTGTTTCCTTTGCCTTGGACAAGGCTTTATTTCTGGGTTGGTGGAGCTCTATCAGAAGTAACTATGGAGAGAGTTCCCTTTGTTTTTCGTAGCTGACCTTCTTCTCAATCTCTTTAACTGAATCCAGTAAGCTTTGTGGGTCAGTTTGCTGGTGAAGATTGGCACTCTTGCTTTCTGTTTACAAGTCTAGCCTGGGAAAGCCTTGCTTCCACTTTATTTTTGACATTTTACTGGGAGCGTGAGCTTCCAGGGGAGGAGAGGAAGGAGAACTTGATTCGTTGGAAGCCACAGTAGATGTTTGGCACTGAGAAAGTGAAATGGCAAGGGGAAAAAAAATCCTGTCTCAGTGAGTCTGTGGCCCTGAATGATCTGAAATGGCAACAGGAAAGAAGGGAGGTTTGTAATTCTGGTGGTCCAGTGACAGGAGTTTGGCCGACTGTCCCCAAAACATTTACCTTTACTGCCTTACTTCCATGAAACAAGTGTTTTTTGGGGGGAATTGATGCTTACTTTTGTATAATTATGATCTTTGATGTAAATGTGCATCTTGATAGGACAGTATATACTAGTCTTGGGGTCTTGCTCTGTAATTTCTATCTTTTGGAAGAAAGAAAAGAAAGACTCTAGAATGAAGGTGATAAAACTAGGTAGAAAGAAAGATAATCTCGTGTATACCAACCTAACCCTGTTGTTTCCCAGAAGGGATTCTAGATCTTTATGAGCGCCTTTATGAGATCCTTTAAGAGTTAAAGGAAACCACAGTACCATCTTCCATCTCAAAGGCAAAGGATCAAAGTGTGATTCACAGACCAGTGGCAGCCACAGCAGCTCCTGGAGTGCCTTCCTAAATCCTACTGAACCAGAATCTTCATTTCCATTTGTTTGCACAGTAAAGTATGAGACACAGTTACCCACAGGACTTTACTTGTGCGGAAGTCTCAGTTGCTTTTCTGAACGGAGCGCACCTGCCTCACTGCCACCCCCGCACAAGTGTAGTAGTTCATCAATTACTGGATAGGTTTCTAGCACTGGTCCTTCCAACCCTCTATCCTTGTACCCAGGCTCCCATAGGGATTCACTTCCTGGTTAATCTTGGCAGCTTGAAACCATGTAACTCTTTTTGATAAATTAAGGGAAAAGTGAAAATAGTCTTCCAATCTGACCTTTAAAATTTCATTTTTAATAGTCCCACTAACTATATTTTCAATATTAGGAGCATATGTCTGGAAAGATCATTATAAAATAATCCCAATATATCTGCTCATAAGGTAACTCTAAAAATTATATATACCTGCATATCTGGATATATTGCATAACTGCGTATGTGGTAAAATCAGAGGGTCCACACTAGTGCTGTGACTTTAAATATTTAAAATTGGGGGCATTGAAATTGCATTTATCTCACAATTCTGACCCTATTTGATGTTTTCAGGATATTATAATACCTTTTATGGTGATAACATTTTTACCATTTAAATGTAAATGTACCTAATAAGTGTTAGGTATAAGAAACTAAGTACCTAAGTTTAAAATAGTTAAATTTTTAGTTTTTCAAAATCTTTGGTCTTTTATTTCCTTGTTTGTTTCTACAGTAGGAGAAAAAGCAAAAACATTAAAAAGATGTGATTATTTGACAGTAAAATGTAAAAATTTTGTGCAACTTTTAAGAGAAAAATGGCTTCTCTTCTTTAAGGCATCTGGCACGCCTACATTCACAAAGAAACTGTCAACAATCAAACAAACTCCTGACACAGTATGTGATTTTTCTACCACTTATAATTATTCATTATTTGAAAACAAACTTTGTGGGCATGGGTCTATAGGGAGAGTTTGAGACAGTTATGAAGTTTTCTTTTTCTGTAGTTAACTCACTAAAGGTAATCAAAATTTATTTAGGTTATTACCGATACTTTAAGGACTGTTCATTGCCCATTAAGTCCTTTATCAAATATATGTGGTAAATAATGGAGTAGAGTGTACTATATCTTGTCTAAGAATATGGCAGATTATATACGTTTTTAAAAGGATGTTTATGCACTTATGTCACTTGCTGTTCATTTATGTCCTGAGGAACACAGCAGACAAATCTCATGTGACAAATACAAACTGTGGTAATTTGTGTGTCTCTAAGCATGAAACACATACATGCAACACATGTTAAGGTGGTTGTTCTAGGTAATTTGACTTCGAATGAATTATTTTTAGAATCGTGGAGAGTGAACAACCAAAAATGACTGACTCATCCACTAAATCAGTTGGTGAGGGTTAAACATTTGTGTTTCTTGAGGCTGGTTCCACATAACAGCAAACTCAGGCAGAAGAAAGATTAGTGCATTTTGCTGTAGTCTTTGGGAGCTCCAAGTACAAATGTCTGTGACTCACCTGGTAGGAGGTTGCCTGAATGTGTGCTGGTCCCCCTCACTGTCATCACCTGAGCCCAAGAGAGCCTGCCCTTCCAGGCCACAGCTTATGGCCATTGGCCCTGTTCTCCTGTGAATATCCTGCCTGTTACTTTGTACAACTCGGAAGAGCTAGGCTCTAATTTTGGATCTATCCTTGCATGCTACATGACTTTGAGAATGTCTCTTAAATATTTTGAACTTCAGTTTCATTTAAAAAATGATGAAATTACCTATTTTAGTTACTCTATGGGATTGTTTTAAAGAGCCCACAAGAGGTTAAAGTAGTTCACTTTGGTGAATTATAAACTGCTACATAAAGCATAAAGTGTTAGTGGCTTTTCAACTACATGTAGCCAGTTGTTTAGACTTTAGGGGGCTCTTTTATTTTTAGACCAGAGTTTCTCAA